CAATATAAAAAATACTTTTAAATATCACTTTTGCCCTAAACTAAAAAAGTTTCATTAAAAAAGCTTTAAGCAATACTGCCTTCAGTGTAAGTATATCTTTGATATTATTATTTATAAAAAGTGCCCCCCCCCCCATACAAATGCTCTCGTACGCCCCTTGCTTTGTTGTAGTTAGTTAATTTACGCATATCAGCCTGAGGAGAATTACATAATTCAAGATACGCGGGAATTCCGTAATTCAATCTATCTATTGGGGGATCCCCCATAAGTACATTGGGATCCACCGTACGCAGTACGCACAAGGGGATTCCACGATAATTGTTTACATGATTACAAAATCTTCCGAAAATCGGAGATGAAGACTTTTAACGCATTAAAACCCCGTTATGTTTTTTTTGCTGCTTTCTGTTTATTTTATTTAAAAAAATTAATAAGGTAAATTATGCTTTGTTGGATTTGGAATGGGTTTTGAATTAGCGTTATTCAGTTTATAAAGGACATTTGTAAATCGATCTAATTAATTTTATGTTATGGGGGAGAGAGAGAGAAAGAGAGAAAGGTAAAATATACGTAAAAGGTTTGTGGACAAGATGTAAATAATAACGGCTTAAGCACTATGATGAAATTATGTAAGCGCGCGTTTGTTATCGTGCATTCTAGAGACTTCTACGCTTACATAAGAAATACTTCGCATGCGATATATACGCAGTATCTTTCAAACCTTCATTGTGAACAGAAGTAACCTAGAGTATCATAGGTAAATCCACATATTAAGAGAATATGTAAAGCGTTCAATTTAATTCTAAAAAGTTGAAACCCCTATTTTACTGTACGGTTGCGGCATAAAATCGATAATCGTTGTGCGAAAATACTGCAATTTGATTGCAAATTTTGTCTGCCGTATTGTTTGCACTTCCTGTGGTGGAACAAATAGTGTACGGAAAACAAACACAAATCATTTTTTAATTTTCAAAAAACGAAAAACGATCGTTTTTTAAAAAATATTTCGATAACGAATCTGAGTTTTATAACTATTATTTTTATATTTTAATGAAGATAAGGTAATGAATGTTGTTTTAACGTTTTTATTTCATCGACAGAAATAAACTGAGCTCTGAATTTCCGACCAAAAAATGTTTTTTCTCTTTAAAAGGTCTCTAAAGATCTTTAACGAAGGGTTGTCGTTAACGATCGTTAATGAAGGGTTGTCGTTAACGGCCGTTAAAAAAGAATGTTTTCAAAAACGATCAATATCCCTATTGGCACTAAACCAAACAATTAATATACAAATGTTTTTGTTCAGTTACTGAAAACAATAATACCCCAGAGAGCCCAGGTGGTTAATTACCAGGTTTTAGGAAGGATGAAAACACAAGGTATGTTTTTAGAATGAGGTACAGTGAGAACCAGAAAACTTCGGAATAGGAAGACGACTTTTAGACATAAGTTATGACTTTGAATATTCCTATGCACATGAGACAGAGCAAGGATCCGGTTTTGCCCGTGGAAAAAAATTAATTTTAAAAAATACCGATTTTTTAAAGTCTTTGTTATCCCCAGGCTACCCATGCGTGTCCACAAAAAATTTCAGCCCAGTCGGTCCAGCCNTAGATAGTTAAATAAATATATAGATAGAAATACATATATAGATAGATAGATAAACTATAAAGCAATAATCAGAACAGCTTCTCAGTTTTCATATTATTTATATATATATATATGTATACACGAATGTCTGGTTTTATTATATGGATAGTAAAACTATTTGCTTTGTATCAATATCAAATATGTACTTTAGTTCAGCGTTAATGTCGTCTTTTTATTCAACAGTTTGCTGGTTTTTACTGGATTTTCCAATTATAAAGATTCGGCATCAGCTCTTGTTTGCAAAAAGATACAATTTTTTTGGTTTGAGAAAGCAGTCACTGAATGTCGTATTTGTTGTAAAAAGGACATTTTATTTAAAGCTTGATTTTAAGAACTTTGTTTGCTTCAATTATATTTTCAACCATATAAAGATACTTGAAAAAAAAAAAATTTACAATATTTATGATTAATTTCAATAAGTAAATCTTCATTAATTTTTGATGAATAAAGTTTCATGAATGTGATAATTGACAGCAGTTTTAATATTGATCTTTAAGGAGGTTTTCTTGGAGGCTTTGGAAGGAACAAACCTTTAATTGGCAAACATACTGGAGCAAGGAGATGTACTGCACTGAGTGGTAATGAGCCTAACACATCCTCTGGAGCTGAATCATACAAGTATCAAACAAAGCTGGCTAACTGTCCCGTTGTACACTTCAACAATACGGTTACTGTCCGATATTTTTGGAAGTGAATTAAAAAGCAGGCAGCCTTACCAGAGCTTTAATATTTTGTCTTTAATATCATATACTTAACTTTAAAATTGATTCTGTGATTGTGAATTTTAAGTACAATGGATGTTTTAATCTCAATATCATTGCAACCTCATCGTTAAAACATTGAACCTCATAAGAAAGTAGATAAAAGTAATCAATAATAATATGTTCTAAAATTTTTTTCCAGAATTTCTTTAATCTAAACTTTACTCTCTCTGTGATTTGTATGTAATATTTTTTTAGTTTGATCAATAAACATCAATAATTTTATTTTAGTTTTTAATTAAAACCTTGAGAATAACATAGTTACCCACCTTCCCCCAAGATATCCCTCATTTTTAAATTCATTCAACTTGAAAAAAGGTTTAAAACCAATAGAAAAGACAGAAAGAACGAAATGATTATCCAAAAACGGCCAAATCACATAGAAGTACAGGGTGTCCCATGAAACATGACAATTTGTGAATAGTTTAGAATTTCCTCTTCCATAATTTGTAAAGTTGTTTGATACCAAAGACAAAAATAAAAATATAATATGGGAGTCATGTTATTGTAAAATAGATTTCAAAATAAAATATATTTAAGCAACAGATTTTTTAACAAAATAAACTGCAAAAAACCTTTAACATCTAATACAGTATATGGAAGACGACATTCATAACTATTTAACAACTATTATGTTTCGTGGGACACCTTGTAGCATATTTAAGAGGGTAAATTAACTATTGCATAATGTCTAGTGTGTATATTAATTTGAATTAGATTTTTTTATTATTTCTAAGTATAAAACAGGGTGCATACAAAATAAATGCCGACATCATGTAAAATTTGCATATATTTAGAAGGAAAAATTGTTGCTTAATGTCTAGTGTGACAGGTTGATTATTTATTTGAAAAAAATGTGCTTTTTCTGTGATTTCCCAGAAATTTTTAAAATATGAAACAGCTTGCTTACAAAACTATCAACAATTACAATCAGTTCTGCGGATAAAATACGGAATTAAACTCCGTACTTGATGATGCATGCAATTGCTGAAGGAGTACCATTGTGAATCCGACATACCACTCTACCTGGTGTTGAAGCTGAAGTATATAATTAAATATCCTGCGACACTGGTTTTACCAGACACAGAATATACAGAATAGAAACCTGCAGAATACAGGTCCTTTCTTCTAACCAACTAAATGTAAAATAAACAAAACGGTTTAGCTCGAAAATGGCCAAAATCTATCTATTTTCTTATAGTCGTTTACAATTGGAGAACTGTTTTTGTTTTAAATCGATTTGAGCATTTTTTTCAGTATGGCAAATTTATTCATTAACTATCTTTCTATCTATCTGACTATCTATCTATCTATCTATTTAATTATCTATCTATCTATCTATCTATCTATCTATCTATCTATCTATCTATCTATCTATCTATCTATCTATCTTAAAAAAGGGGTGGGGTATTCCCAACAGCACTATATTCTACATATAGGCCCCCATCAATCAGTTCAGAATATGCTTCTACTTTGCACATTTTTGTTTTATTTTATCCAATATCCATATTAATTAAGAAAATTTATAAACATAAATTAAGGATTTTTATTTACTCTTTTTTGTTTTTATTTGTTCTTAAAGAAGACGAAATTATATTTCGATCCATTTTATTTTCTGAATTAACTATTAAACGAATCTTCACATTTTGGTTAAATCTTTTATTTATGGATTTGGATTTGGATTGAGAGTCCTAACCCTGACCGAGTTTGATCCCATTCAGTTAGATACTGATTACTTTGGTTAGTTGATATTTTATAGTATTTTGTATTTTTCATGATCTGAGCGTTATTCCTGTTTCGAGGATTTTTGATAATGAAGACGACATTTTAATATTTTCCAGGAATGTTCGAAAATCCAGCGCTAGCAAAAAATTATTAAAAAAAAAAAAATCAAAAATATTATGAAATATTAATTATATACGAATGCGTCGAAAAATAATCGATGACTACTGTTTGTGATATCTGAATGATTTGTTTGGAATTAAATTTAATTGTTTACGATCTGAGTTGAATGTTGCATCTTTCTGAATTTATATGAACGCTGCGTTCTTCGGTGTGAGTCGTTTTTAACAATTTTATCCTTATAGACGCAACAGATAGAAATAAGATTAGTAGCGATCAAAAACGCTTTTTTATCGCATAAAGCCTATACCCCCTTTCATTTTTTGCGAACACTCCCTTTGAAGGGACTGTAAACGTAATTTCAAGTGAGACTCCATTTTGTAAAGTGGCATGTACAATTCACCAATCTTTCTCTGATCAAGGAAGAACCTGACTTTTCTAACTTGAGGCTAATTATTTTTAATCATAATTCCTCTAGAAGTGACTGGCGGGTTTATTCTGCAGAGTGCAGATACAACAGACGTTTACACTTTTTAGATAGAAAAACGCTGATATCTTCCTCTGTTCTTACTCAGACAGAGAAATAAAGTTTACCGTTATGAATTATATAATGAAAGACAGGTTAAAGTGTACAGTCCCTTTAAACCCTAGTATATAATGATTGACAGGTTAAAGTGTACAGTCCCTTTAAACCCTATTATAAAATGATTGACAGGTTGAAGTGTACAGTCCCTTTAAACCCTATTATATAATGATTGACAGGTTGAAGTGTACATTCCCTTTAAATTTTATTATATAATGATTGACAGGTTGAAGTGTACAGTCCCTTTAAACCCTAGTATATAATGATTGACAGGTTGAATGTACAATCCCTTTAAACCCCATTATATAATGATTGACAGGTTGAAGTGTACAGTCCCTTTAAACCCCATTATATAATGATTGACAGGTTGAAGTGTACA